CGCTGTCAGGTGAGACTATATTCAGATATATATAGTTTTTCTGAGCAAAATTCTCGCAATGATCGTTTTAAAAGCATAGGTCGAGCCGTTCAAATTTGTGCCGCAATTCCGTATTTCCTCCTATACCTTAAGTTAAGGGGGAAATATTCCCCCTCCGTTTACACAGCTTGACCTTTGACCCTTGACCCCCCAAATTGGTCATCCCGAGCCCTTTTCACAATCCCCCCCGACGTCCCGAATATCGTGACAGTCCTTTGTTGACAGTCAACAAATCCATGTTTAACCCTCCCTTTGAGGGTCAAAAGGTTATCAGACACTTACTCTTCGCACGTCAGTGGAAAGCACATTTCATGGTCCTTTCAATAAAGTGATAAAAATGGTAGGTCAGCGCTGAAACAAAAAAGTTTTTCACTCTGTCCATTAGGCCATGTCCTCAGAAAATGTCTGATATCTGACCTTTCCTTCACTGTCGTTTGACCTGTGACCTCCAATTTTGCACTGGTGATGGGTTTCCTGCCCATCACACTATACACCGAAAATATTAAGCCTTAAGTTATTATACCTTAAGTTAAGGGGAAAATATTCCCCCTCCGTTTACACATCTTGACCTTTGACCTTTGACCCCCACATTGGTCATCCCGAGTTCTTTTCACGATCCCCCGACGTCCCGAATATCGTGACCATACGTCGAGTGGTTAAGATTTGTGCCCAACTGTTGACGGACGACCGGACGAACTCAATTGAAATAATGCATGGTTGCCCAAATATAGACAATATGGCGCGAGCAATTAGCATCGCTAGTAGTAGTGTTGCTTAAACACAGTTTTTTCCACACTGTAAAGTCACATAATGTTTCTCCGTCGAAATGAACAAACAACACCTTCAAGAATACCCCTGTCGATTTTAAAGGGGCTGCCCCCACATTTACGAAAATGGTCAGTCTCAATCTGGACATCATCTCTATCCTTGAACCGTGCTTTGCATGATGGGATTGCCGTAAACACACACAAAAATGTATTTACGGCATCGTAAATATAGCCACGATCTTCATTTATATATCTTGGTAGCAAAAAAAACAAGGAAAAAAACATCGCCTCTACGCATGGCGGCGTCATGCACCATATCTGCCATGTGTTTTGCCTACATATCCGGTGCATGTATATACGATACCGGTGACGTCACGCGTTCGCACGCCAGAATATTTCAAACGGGAATGCCAGTAGTGCTGAATTTTAGTAATAAAAGGATAAATATATAATGTAAAGTTGTTGAAAGTGTTTAAAGGGATAGGTGAGATGTCCATGTAGATAAATAAGTGTTAAAAAGCCCGATGATTTTTCTGAGCCATTTTTAGCTCACCTTAGACATCGTCAAGCTGAGCTATTGCCATGGGTCGTCGTCCGTCGTACGTCTGTCCGTCCGTCCGTCCGTCCGTCCGTCCGTCCGTCTGTCCGTCAACATTTGGCTACGGTCAATGATAACTCAGGAACCCTTTGACCCACATGTTTGAAATTGGGTGTAGTTGTTACTGCTATGCTCCCATATTAAACGTCCTATATTGGAGCATCGCCAGTCGACGTACTTTTGAGCCACGGCAATTTTTTGGCAAACATGGTGTTGCATTGAGGATACCACGAACTATATATCTTTTAATGAACAGAACACATTTATTTAACATTCCACTCAATAACACAACCAGTTCACACAGAACCAGGTCATGAATAACAAGTCGGTTTCAGTTTTGATTCTAAGAACCTTCCCGGGTAGCTCTAACATTATATTACTCATATTGTACCGAATAGTATCGTGACATCTCCCTCCTTTTGAGATTGTCTGTTACTCGACTGAATGTAGAACATTTTCGTAAACATATCTGAGAATCGAATAATACATAATAATACAGCCGTTTCTTTCGCCCTAGTCACGCAATATTTCACTATGCATTAGCACATTAAAATTTCCACAAAGCACTGGTTACTTTAACCACACTACTCGCTACCAATAATCATTTATCAATATCATCCCGAAAACGCAACGGCTTGCGCACTACCCGACCGCTTGTCCGTGGACCGGGTGAATGTGATTCCACATCCATCTCGTGTGCATTATCTTCTGGAGTCTCAGTTCGTTCACCAGAAGATGACACTGTCTTTATCATTGGTTTATCCTGGGATTCTACAGGAACTGCCACATCATCACCAAGGCTGACCTTCAGATGTCTTCGATTTCGGCGCATTGTTGCCGAACCATCGGTAGTCACTATGTATGATCGTGGGGTAGTCGCTTGACAACCACTCCCGGTGTTTTCCATCCCTTCTCCCTGTCCAACTTTACCCGTACCATGTCTCCAGGTCCAAGCTCTGGAAGAGATTTCACCGAATGACGTCTGTTGTAGAACCGACGGTAGCTCGTCTTAGCTCGGTCATCTGTCATCTTGACACTCTTAAGATCTGGCCATTTAGGATTTAAATTATTAGTACGGGTTGGCAATTTGGTACGTATCTGCCGTCCCATCATCAGCTGTGCAGGACTTACACTCGTGGCTGCAATTGGTGTAGCTCTATAGCTCATTAATGCAGCAAACACATCCTCTTGGCGGAGGATTCCTTTCGCTATTTGCACTCCCCGCTC